GAAAATGTAAAGGCAGACATTTTATAGCAAGAAGGGGAGTGATTAACTTTCCAGTCTAGGAGCGGAGGTCCCTAGGACCATCAAGGGAGAAGAGCGGAGAGCGGGACCCTACCCAGAGAAGCAGTGATGCCTGAAATGGAGGCAGAGATGATGACGTGGAGCGATGGTGCTTTTAGATCCAGAGAAGGAGAATGACTGTGTTCTGAAGACCTGGGGGGTATGGGGAGCAGGACTGCAGGGTATACCCTTTGGTTGGCTGATGATGCATGGAGGGGATTGTAACCATGGCAATGAGACGAAATACGATAGAATGAATGTAAAATTAATGTTCTCCCATGTAAACTATCACATAATTCACAATAAAACATTTAGGAAAAAAAGGGTATTCACAATGGAATATTATGCTACCTTGAAGAATAGCAAGGAAGCTGTAAGCCACCACATCACATGGATGAACCTTAAGGACAGTATGCTGAGCGAAATTAGTCAGTCACAAAAGGACACATATTACATAAGACCATTATTGTAAAACTTAAGAAAAGATACTCATACTAAAAGGGAAAACATTTTTTTGTTGGTTACGGGAAGTGGGCATTGGATGGCAGAGCGCAGGGTAGTGGATAGACACATCATAGTTCAGGTTTTGGGGAGGGCAATACACAAGAAGGGGGAGGGGGATGGAAGAACAAGGTAGATAGGGGAACACATAGGCAGGTTTGTATGGGCTAAATGGGAAGATGTAAATAGCGATATCTGGAACAACCTTGAAAGAACAGGGCTCTGTGATACAGGGATCTAGACATAGTCTAAATGGGTAAAAGAGGAAATAATGTTAAGATGCTTAACTGTCTTATGAATATTGGTTTCCTTTGTAAAACAGACACTTGAGTGGGACAGAAAGGAGTATCAGGAAACATGATTAGTGTTTGTTGTTGTTAAGTGCCCATAGCAATCCTGTATAGCGTTTCCTAGGAGCGACTGGTGAGTTTGAATAGCTGACTGTACGGTTCAAACCAACCTTGCGGTCAAGTGATTATACTACAGCGCCACACCACAGAACAGAGTAAATCTGCCCCATAGGGTTTCCTACACGGTATTGCCAGATATTTTATTCCAGAGCAACTGGTTCAAACGGCCAACCTTTCAGTCAGCCGCCGAACGCTCAACTGCTGAGCCAAAGGGCTCCTTGATCTGAAAATTTAAAAACCCATGGCTAACATGACACAGGCAAACAAACTATGCCAATTTTGTTGGTTTCAGTTTTGTTATCTATAAAATATTAAGATTTCACTAGATAATCCCAAAATTCTTCTTGCTTTAAATTCTCATGATTCTACCTGTTGTTGTTATGAGCCGTAGAGTCGGTTTCGACTCATAGAGACCCTGTACAGGGTTTCCGAGGCTATAAATCTTTACAGGAACAGAAAGCCTCATCTTTCTCCCACAGAACAGCTCGTAGTTTTGAACTGCTGACCGTGAGATTAGCAGCCTAATTCCTAACCACTACGCTACCAGAGCTCCTACCTACATACCAATAATTCAAAAATCAAATCTTAAAGATCTATTTCTCTTTTAACATACTAAACTCCATGATACTGGTCCTGGTACCAATATGGAACTGAATTAGTGAGTGTAATGGTTAGGGTTTTATGTCAACTTAACTAGCTAGATTTTTTCAGAGGTTTAGCAGTTGGGATGTGCTTATTCCCACGGTGATGAAATCTAATACAGGCATAGTTAGCTCTATAAGAGCCTATGAGCAGCCAATCAACTGGGGGTGTGGCCTGCTCCCAATATAATGAACACACAAGAAGGACTCTCTCTCTCTCTATCTCTTCTGCTGGAGACCTGGAACTCTGAAATAGTAAGCCATTTCCTTGATAATAAACTTCTCTGTCTGGCTCTGTATGTGTATGTATATATATACATATAAAATTTCACTGGTTTTGCTTCTCTAGAAAATCTGGCCTAACACATGTGGTACCAAGAGACTGGTACCTCATAAGGATGAGTTTTCTAAATTAGTTCTCAAGTATGACTAATCGTAAAGGCACTGATATAAAGTAGAGACATGTCTGACCACCACTTCCTAAGAATTGGCCTTTGCCTGATTTTTTGTTTCCTCTTCTTTCCCTCTTGTGGAATCAGAGGAAATCAGACATGGTCCTCATTTGGTTTAAGCAGCTGGCACTGTGAGCAGAATTCATTGCAATGGCTCCAAACCTATGAAATGGCAAGATTATATGGGAGAAAGTACAAAGGGGCATGAAATAAAATATTTCTGTGGAGGGAAGAGTGGCAGCTTCTGGAGTTGCCTGGAGCTCATGACATGCCGGTTAAACAGGGCTGATAGTAGGCCAGTTTGTGGTTGGTGGTATGCTGAGGAGTCGGTTCTGACTCATATCACCCTGCATAGGGTTTCTGAGGCTGTAAATCTTTACGGGAACAGAAAGCCTCATCTTTCTCCCGAGGAACAGCTGGTAGTTTCAAACTGCCAACCTTGAGGTTAGCAGCCCAACTCATAACCACTACATTACCAGAGCTCCTTTACGGTAGGCCATACTGGAATTCCACCCTGTCTGAGGACCAAGGCCATATGCATACGAATTGCATTAGTCCTGGTGTGGAGCTATGGAATAACTGGACCACAAATGGGATAATGCAATGGGGACCACAAAGTTGGTTTGAACTGCAAGGTCAGCAACTCAAATTCACCAGCTGCTCCTCGAAAACCTTATACAGGGTCACTATGATTCAGAATAGGAGTCCAAGGACTTAACAACAGGAGTCCCAGTGCGGCAATATGGATTAATGTGCTGGACTGCAAGGTCAGTTTAAACCTCAAGCTCACCAGCCACTCCAAGGAAACCCTATGTAGGGTCACTATGCATTAGAACCAACTCAACAGCACTTGACAACAACAATAAGGGAGAAGAAAAGATTGAACTTATGTGTTTTAAAAATGTTTACATGTTTGACTGCCTATTGGATATTGGTTTCTCCTGCCCATTATTGTAAAATACACATACGTGTATGAAAGTAATATTGGGAATTATGATTAACGTTTGTAATCAATCTTAACTTGATTGGATTTGCTAAAGGGGAATTAGACTTTGCTAGAAGGGGAGTTAGGATTTGCCCAGGAAAACAGCCTTCTTTGCTTTAGGCTTTGTAGAATATGGAGACTTAGGTGGAATCCCACCCAGAACCTTAAGAGTTGGGACATTTGCATTTGAAAAGACATGCAGACCAACCCTGAGTGAAAGAAAGCAGAGAATAAAAGGGTACAGTTTGAATTTGCAAGGAAAGCCCAGCCCCCTTCTAGGACTGAAAACTGAGTTACAGGGAACCTGTGCAATTAAAGACAGGAGCTGAGTCTGGACATGTTCTATTGGCACATGTGGACCTTGAAATGAGGTAACACGGAAGGCTGTGTGGTCTGAACTTTAGGAAGGTGTGTGATCCCCTAAACCCATGGGCACTGACCTGGCCCATGGAGACTAAGGCTGAGAGGGAAGTGGCTAGCTGGTGTGAAGTGCAGGGAGGTGTATGTGAACTCTGAAACTTGTAGCTGGTACCCATCTAACCTAGCTTGGATGATTAGGGTTGAGCTGACAAGAACCTCATCAGATGAAAATAACGATGTGTGATACTGTGAGCAAGTGTCAATTGCTACAATTTGATGAACTGCACTTTTGTTTATGGATGAAGCTGCTCAAAATTCCAACTGGAATGAAAGATCCTTTAGACTGAAGAAGATGCTTGTCTCCTCAGTGTACTGGGTTGATTGTTGTTGTTAAGTACCATGGAGTCAGTTACAACTCACAATGACCCTGCACAGGGTTTCCGAGGCTATAAATCTTTACAGGAGCAGAACGCCTCATCTTTCTCCCACAGAACAGCTGGCAGTTTTGAACTGCTGACCTTAAGGTTCGCAGCCCGATTCGTAACCACTATGCTACCAGACTAGGTTGATGTTGTTGTTGTTGCTGTTATGTGCTGTGGAGTCGGTTCCGACTCATAGCGACACTGTACAGGCTATAAATCTTTACGGAACAGAAGGCCTCATCTTTCTCCCACAGAACAGCTGGTAGTTTCGAACTGCTGACCTTGCGGTTTGCAGCCCAATTTGTAACCACTACACTACCAAACTGTGTTAATGTTGTTGTTATGTGCCATCGAGTCGGTTCCGACCCATAGCGACCTTGAACAGGGTTTCCGAGGCTGTAAATATTTACGGGAGCAGAAAGCCTCATCTTTCTCCCATGAAGTAGCTGGTAGTTTCAAACTGCTGACCTCACAGTTCACAGCCCGATTCGTAACCACTATGCTACCAGAGCTCCTTAGACTTGGATGATAGGGATGGGCAATTTAGACACTGGTTGTGATTATGTGTTGTGGAGGAACCGACTCATAGTGACCCTGTATAGGGTTTCCAAGGATGTAAATATTTACGGGAGCAGAAAGACGTATCTTTCTCCTGCAGAACAGCTGGTAGTTTCGAACTGCTGACTTTAAGGTTCGCAACCTGATACATAACCACTACGCTTCTAGAGCTCCTTAATTTAGACACTGGCTATCAAAATTGAGGGGGCTATAAAAGCGTGAAGTGGTTGGCTTACAAGCTTTCATGGGTGTGCTTAGTTTTAGAATGAGGGAACAAGGCAGAATCCCCACTGATTAGTTTTCCTCTTTTCCAGATGAGTCTGGTGAAAGTGGGTCGGAGATGATGCTGACAGGATATTATGACTTAAATTGTGGTAAGTGTTAGTAGGATTGATTGTGACAGTCAAAACTGTAATTGTAGGAAATGTGTAACTAAAAGGGGGAAATAGTTAGCTTTCATTTCAGGAACATACGATTCCAAGACCATCATTAAGGAAGAGCATGAGCGGAGCTTGGGATCCATGCCTGAAAAAAACGGTGACAGAGACGGTGTCATAGAAAGACTCTAGGCCCACGGACTGAGTAAGGCTGTATGCCTATGGGCAGGAGACTGGATTGCAAAATGTGCCCTTTGGACATTTAAATGAATACAAAATTTTGGTTTGTTTTATATGTGTGCATCAAATATTTTTGCCTTGCTCATTTGTGACTTATGAGATGTAAGTGGGACCAGTAATATGTGCTTTGGTAAAATCACACTAGGCACAAGTATTATTTTACAATTTTCTTTATTCAGAGATTGTGCACATAGTTTACAGGTGTCAAGTTGACAAGGATGGAATGTAATGGTTAGGGTTTTGTGTCAACTTGACTAGGCCAGGATTTTCAGAGATTTAGCAGTTGGGATATGCTTTTCCCAAGGTGATGAAACCTAATACAGGCATAGTTTATCTGTATGATGAGCAGCTATGAGCAGCCAATCAATTGAAGGGATGCTTCCTCGGGATTTGAACTACTCCCAATATAATGAATACAAGGGAGGGACTCTCTTCTGCTGGAGACCTGGGACCCTGCAATGGTAAGCCATTTCCTTTATAATAAACTTCTCTTTCTATACATACATATATATATTTCACTGGTTTTGCTTCTCTAGAAAACCTGGCCTAAGACAGTGAGCATTATTTCCACCCAAGTACTTTGTAGTATCTTACTGGTGGCGGTAGTTATGTGCCGTGGAGTCGGTTCCAACTCATAGCGACCCTGCACAGGGTTTCCGAGGCTGTTAAATCTTTACAGGAGCAGAAAGCCTCATCTTTCTTCTGCAGAACAGCTGGCAGTTTCAAACTGCTGACTTAAGGTTAACAGCCCGATTTGTAACCACTACGCTACCAGAGCTCCTTCTACTCTTCTTCAAATGTATGATAAAGATAAGACCAAAGTTCTGTCTGTCATCGGTTCATAGTAACTCTACAACTGGGTCTCTTTTTTCCCGATTTAATGAGAAACTGCTTCAGAAATCTACTTTTAGTATGGGGCAGACTTTTTAAACTGTTTTCACTTCCAGAAAAAATAAAAGCTGCTTAACTGTTGTCAGGGACTATGTCATCAAGTAAAAGTACAACTGAAATTAGGGTCTTCTCTAGTTTAAATCTAAGGCAATAATTTAAAATATTGTTAAGAGCAAACAGTGTTCAGCCATGGCTCTGCCCTCCGTTTCCTTCTCTTGATTGGTTAAGAGGGTGTTCTGAACACAGTGATCCACTCTCTTGGAGTACTTAGAATTCTCTAGTCATACTACCTTTGTTGTTGTTAAGTGCCTTCAAGTTGATTCTGACTCACAGCAATACTGTATAGGGTTTCTGAGGAGTGGCTGGTAGGTTTGAACCACTGACCTCGTGGTTAGCAGTCCAACATCACATCAGGACTCTTTACCTTTTCCTTATTTACTTATTTTTATTTTTCTATTATCTCACCTTTCTCAGTAGCTTTAAAGGGTTCTCTTTGGTAGAGAGAAGATAACTCAAGATTTCTAAACTTAAAACACTGCTTAAGAGTTTTTGGTCGAGCTGAATTTCTTGAGTCACAATCAGATGACCTGCGGTGAAGGAACAGGCCTGCAAAACCAAGAGCCAAACCCACTGCTGCGAAGTCACATCTCTCTCCCACAAGGCAGCTGCTGGGCTTCAGCCATGGATCTTTCAGTAAGCAGCTGAGTGCTTGAACCAACACAACATTGGGCTCTTCTCAGGTACTGCAAAAGAGCCACTCAATTCTAGTCTGAAACAACTTTGGAAGAAGCACACCAACTAGCCACTCCTCAGAAACCCTATACAAGGTTGCTAGGAGTCAGTACAGACTCAACAGCACCTAACAACAACATCTATCATTAATCACTTAGAGATTTATGTCTTACCTCAGACGCTTCCTGTCTCTTGACCGAGATCTTCTTTTATCCCTGCTACGAGATCTCTCTCTCCTTCTGTCTCTGTCTCTACTTCTAGACCGTCTGTCATCTCCACGTTTACTTCTTTTGTCGGAGGGAGAACGACTTCTAGATCGACTTCCAGAGCGCCCACGTGATGCTGATCGCTTTCGATAGTGGCTAGAATATTATTAATGCAAAGATTAATCTTAGCTCACAGGTACAGTCTATTATATATTTTTATTACATTTTCCCAAAAGCCGGCTTGTACTGCAAGGTCAGCAGTTCAAGCTCACCAGTCGCTCCTTGGAAACCTTATTCAGACAGGGTCACTATGGGTTGGAACCAACCTGATGGCACTTAACCACAACAACCCCAAAATCAACAAATTTAAAACTGAAAGGATTTTTTTTTACAAAAACATTTGTAAATTTGGAGAACAGGATGAACCCTTTTGCTATATAGTTCGTATAGAGGAATACTGTTGTACAAAAAGCAATAGAGGTGAACAAAACAGACCAAGCCTCTGCCTTTGGGTCCTAGGTAGATAACAGTTGGTGGAAGATGAATGAATACACAAGGAAATAAACATACAATATGTCAAGTGATACTATGAAGAAATCAGAGTGAAGGAAAAAGCAAAGTAATGGAAGATGGGAGGCTTTGTTACTCTATATTAAGTGATTAAAGAAGGCCTCTATAATAAAGTAACACTTGGTATGGAATTTGGAAGGGAGTAAAGGAAGGAGTCGATGGAGGAAGAACTTACTAGGCAAAAGCCACAATAGGTGCAAAGACCCAGAGGAAGCTTGTTTGGTATGCTCAAGAATAGCAAGAAAGTCATTGTGGCTACAGTGATTTTATTCAGTTGAAAATTATTCTGACTCACAGCAACCCTATGCACAATAGAACGAAATATTGCCCGGTCCTTTACAAACATTGATACATTTGAAACTATGGCTGCTGCCACCGTGCTGACTCATCTCATTGAGGGTCTTCCTCTTCTTAACTGACTCTCTACTTTACCAAGCACGAGGTCCTTCTCCAAGGACTGTTCCTTCCTGACAATATGTCCAAAGCATAAGAGACAAAGTCTCACCATCTTTGCTTCTCAGGAGTATTCTGGTCGTACGTCTTCCAACGCAGATGCGTTTGTTCTTCTGGAAGCACACAGTATTTTAAATATTCTTTTCCAACACCATAAATCAAATGCATCAATTCTACGGTCTTCCTGATTCAGTGTCCAACTTTCACATGCATACGAAATGACAGAAAATACCATGGCTCGGGTGAGCGGCACCTTAATCCTCAAACTGACATCTTTACTCTTGAACACTCTGAAGTTTCTGTGCAGATTTGCCTAGTGCAATATGTCATTTGATTTACTGACTGCTGCTTCCATGAGTGCAGACAGTGGATCCAGGCAAAATGAAGTCTTTGACAACTTCAATCTTTTCTCCATTTACCATGATGCTTATTGACTATGCAAAGGCTTTCCATTGTGTGGATCATGACAAGCTATGGACAACATTGTGAAGTAGGAGCATTCCAGAATTTGTGCTCATGAGGAATCTGTACATAGACCAAGAGGCAGTTGTTCGAACAGAACAAGGGAACACCAAATGGGTTAAAAATTAGGAAAGGTATGTGCCAGGGTTGTATTCTCTCACCACACTTATTCAGTCTGTATGATGAGCACATAATCTGAGAAGCTGGATTATATGAAGAAAAACGTGGCATAAGGATTAGAGGAAGACTCATGAACAACCTGCAATCTGCTATGATATAATCTTGCTTGCTGCAAGCGAGGAAGACTTAAAATACTGTTAAAGATCAAAGATCAGTCTTGGATATCGGATGCATCTCAATGTAAAGAAAACAAAAATCCTCACCAATGGACCAATAATCAACATCCATATACATGGAGAAAAGACTGAAGTTGTCAAAGACTTCATTTTACTCGAATCAGTCATCAACACTCATGGAAGTAGCAGTCAAGAAATCAAATGACATATTGTGTATGAGGCAAATCTGCTGCACAAGACCTCTTTAAAGCTAATCAGTCTTCCCCCAATCCTGAAGCCACCTTCTCCTTCATATAATCCAGTTTCTCAGATTATTAGCTCAACATACAGGGTTGCTATAAGTCAGTTGGACTCAAGAGGATCTAACAACAATAAAAAAGTACTGCTATATTGCTGTTGTCAGATGGATCTTGGCTAAAAGCAGAGAATACCAGAAAGATTTTACCTGTTTTATTGACTATGCAAAGGTATTTTGACTATGTGGATCACAACAAATTATGGATAACATTTGCAAGAACAGAAATTCTAGAACACTTAACTGTGCTCATATGGAACCTGTAGACAGACCAAGAGGAAGTCATTCAAACAGAACAAGAACAAGGAAAAGGGGATACTGCTGATTTAAACTCCAGAAAGATATGTTTCAGAAATGTATCCTTATACTGTATCTATTCAATCTGTATACTGTTGGGAGCAAATAATATGAGAAGCTGGGTTCTATGAAGAAAAACGTGGCATCAGGATTGGAGGAAGACTCATTAACAACCTGCGATATGCAGATGATACAACCTTGATCGCTGAAAGTGAAGAGGACTTGAAACATTTACTTATGAAGATTAAAGAGCACAGCCTTCGATACGGATTGTATCTCAATGTCAAGAAAACAAAAATCCTCACCACTGGACCAATAAACAACATTCTTATCAATGGAGAAAGGATTGAAGTTGTCAAGTACTTCGTTCTTCTTGGATCAACTATCAACACTCGCGGAAGTAGCAGTCAAGAGATCAGACGACGTATTGCACTGGGCAAATCTGCTGCACAGGAACTTTTTAAAGTATTGAAGAGCAGAGATGTCAGCTTGAGGACTAGGGTGCGCCTAACCCAGGCCATTGTGTTTTCAATAGCCTCATATGGATGCTAGAGCTGGACAGTGAATAAGGGGGATCGTAGAAGAATTGATGCCTTTGAGTTGTGGTGTTGGAGGAGAATACTGAGGGTGCCATGGACTGCCAAAAGAACCAATAGATCTGTTTTGGAAGAAGTGCAGCCAGAGTGCTTCTTGGAGGCCAGGATGGCTAAGCTTCGTCTCTCCTACTTTGGACATGTAGTCCGGAGGAAACAATCGTTGGAGAAGGATGTCATGCTGGGTAGGGTTGAGGGTCAGAGAAAAAGAGGAAGACCTCCAACGAGATGGATCGGCCAGGTGGCATCACTGATGGACTCGGGGGTGGCAGCGGTGGTGAGGTTGGCCCAGGATCGAGCATTGTTTCGTTCTGCTGTGCATGGGTCGCTATGAGTCGGTTCCAACTCGATGGCACCTGACAACAACAACAACAACAACTGTTGGGAGCAACTGAGCCACAAGTCTTGGGCTTGAGGGTAGTTTAACCCAGGGCTTGCAGCTGCCCCTAGGCTATTTGCAAAGCTTGGCCTTGGGACATAACTCGCCAAAGGCACTCCATGTAGCAGTTGTGACCTGCAACATCAGGCTGCACTCAAGTCTGACTGCCCCTTGGGTTTCTGCAAGGCTGACCCTGGGAACAAGAAATTTGCAAAGTCTTTCCTTATACACAGTCATGACCTTTTAGCTTAGTCTGCAGAAACATATAGCTGCTTTAATCTCTTTTTCAGTTAGCTACCACAAGTTACAGTTTTTCTGAATAAGCTCTGCCTACTGCTTGCACAAACAGCACCAGATGTTCTTGCACTTTTTACCCTGCCCAAGCACCTCCCCTTGACATGTGTATAAAATAAACTGGCTGCGCCAAGTCTGGGTTGCAGTATCTCAATCAGAGTGCTGCGTCCCACCTGGTCCCAACTTTTACTTAATTTATTTGTGTCTGTGTCTTCTATTTCCTTCTAATCTCCCATTGTCCCTACTCGGGTTTAACGTCTCTGCGCTGGAGGCAGAGAATAGCCTATGCTGGATGCAATAGTATGCTAAGGAAACAGACTATGAAGCTGAACTATATGAAGAACAGCATCAGGCTTAGAGAAAGACTCATTAACTCTTAGCTCATAATGTGCAGAGAACACAGTCTTGCTTGCTCAAAGTAAAGAGGACTTGAAGCAATTACTATTGAAGATCACAGACTACAGTATGGATTACACCTCAACATAAAGAAAACAAAAATCACAATAAATGAAAAAAAAATTTGATGTTGTAAGGATTTCCTTTTACTTGGATCCACAATCAATGCCTATGGAAGCAGCAGTCAGGAAATCCAAAGATGTATTGCATTGAGTAAATCTGCTGCAAAAGATCCCTTCAAAGTGTTAAAAAGCAAGGGTGTCACTTTGAAGACGAAGTGTACCTGACCCAAGCCTCAGTGGTTTCAACTGCCTCATATGCATGGGAAGGCTGGACAAAGAATAAGAAAGACTAAAGAATTGATGCTTTTGAATTATGGTATTGGAAAAGAATATTAAATACATCATGGGCTGCTAGAAGAAGGAACAAATCTGTGTTGGAAGAAGTTCAGCTTGAATGCTCCTAGAAGCAAGGGTGGCAAGACTTCGCCTCTCATACTTTGAACAGATTATCAGAAGAAACCAGTCCCTGAAGTAGGACATCATGATTGGTGGTTGTTGTTAAGTGACATCGAGTAGATTCCAACCCATAGCGACCCTGTATAGGGTTTCCGAGGAGCAGCTGGTGAGCTTGAACCACCGACCTTGCAGTTCAAACGAGGGTCAATAAAAAAGAGGAAGACTCTTGAGATGGATTGACACAATGGGTACAACAATGGGTACTGGACAGGACAGTGCTTCATACTGTTTGTAGGTGGGGTTGCTATACATCTGAACTAACTGATGACATCTTACCAACAACAGCGCTTAAAAAAAAACCATCCTCATGGTCCCTAGCTATAAGGGCTCTTTTGGTCACTACTAAATACACTGCAAATAGTCATCTTTAAGATAAAAACTCAAGGTATGGTACCAGTTATCAAGTAAAGTTCTTTAGAGATCTCACAGATTAAAAAAAAAAATCCCAATTCTCAGTTTAAAAAAGATGAAAAGTAGAAAACTAAGAAATAACAAATCTATTTGTGAAATAAATGCCCACTCAACAAGTATTTACTGTGTAGCCCAGTTAAAGCCTAGTCAAGCACAGGGTTGGAGGCTAGGTTAAAATGTCCACACGCTCCTCTCAACTGATTTGGAAAATATCACACACATGCACGCACGCAAAGAACTAATATACAGTGATGAGCACCAAGGAAATGTCGCAAACGCGAAGAAATAGGGGCCACCACTGACTAAGATGATCAGGGTGGGCTGAGTGGAAGTGGCGGGATGTGGTAGTCAACCACTGCCGTCTAGGAGAGTTGTTTCCGTTCCAAAGGCTCAAACTGGGGGGCGGTAGTGCAGGGAGATCTTGTGCCCGTCGCCGACCCCAGTACAGCCATTCCCTCGGCCTAGGCCCCGGCGCCCCTCCAGCAGCCGCGGGACAGCGCCGGCCGCACGTGGGGCAGCGATGGACCAGGCCTAACTCTCGGCCACCGAAACGCCCGCCTCTTCCCTCCACCTAAGAGAAACCGCTCAGCATCTCGGCGCGTCCTCTCACCGTGACTCCCGACCCATGATGTTCGCCGCAGGAAAGCCCACACCCTTCAGGGCAGCGCACTGTAGACTGGAACAAAGAGGCAAGCTGCACTGTTTTGGGCGCGCTGGACAAGGACCAACAGCACTAAGAAGAGGTAGCAGCTACAGCAGCGGTAGCAGCCATCCCAGCGCTGCCAACGAAAACAGGAATTTCGGCGCCGGTGGCAGAAGGAAGGCAAAAGCCAGCCGGAAGCTCTTGCATCTCCACCAGCGCCACCTAACGCCCGGAGGCCGAACAGCGCCTACCGTATTGTCCTACATAGCCTTGGAATCCCACCCAGGTCTGGGGAGGTCTCCACTTTGCCGATCCTGGGAGGGTCCTTTCCTCTACGAGTGACAGGGGTGCCATATGCTGCTGTGTGCTGTCTCACTGCTGTCGTGTCGATTACCATCCTATAGGACAAAGTAGAACAGCCTCATAGGATTTCCAAAGCTGTAAATCTTTATGGAAGCTGACTACATCATCTTTCTTCAAACTTGCTGGTGGGTTTGTACCTTTCGGTTTGCAGCCTAGCACTTTAACCAGGTGTGCCACCAGGCCTCCTCTCCAGAATTTACACTGACCCGTATTTGTTGTTTCCGACACAGAGAGCTCCTGTGTACAAAAGAGCACAGCCCCGGCCCTGCACCATCCTGGATTTACTGTGCCGTGTGGCATTGTGGTTTACTGAGCAAGGTCAGTGGTTCAAGCTCACCAGCCTCTCCTTGGAAACCCTATATAGGGTCACTATGAGTCGGAACCGACTTGTTGGCACTTAATAACAACAACAATAACGCTCAAAAGCAAGTTTCAGAGTCTCTTCTGACATCAGTTTTGCTCTTTTCTTTCTTTAAAATGACCTTTTGCTTTCTTCCTGTATGATATGCTTGATGTCATCCCACAACTTTTCTGGTTTACAGTCATTAAATCTGTTCTTGAGATGGTCTCTAAATTCAGGTAGGATATGTTCAGGGTCATAATTTCGCTCTGGTGGACTTTTTTCTTCATCTTCAGCCTGAACTTGCATGTGAGCAATTGATGGTCTGTTCCACAATCTGCCCTGGCCTTGTTTTGGCTGATGGTACGGAGCTTTCCCACTGTCTCTAGCCACAGATGTAGTCAATTTGATTTCAGTGTATTCCATCTGGTGAGGTCCATGTATACAATTGCCTTTTATGTTGTTTCAAAAGGTACTTACAATGAGTAAGTTGTTGGTCTTGCAAAATTCTATCATGTGATCTCCAGCATCATTTCTATCACCAAACCCTATTTTCTAACTACTGATCCTTCCTCTTTATTTCCAAATTTCACATTCTAATCACCAGTAATTATCAGTGCATTTTAAAAAACTTATTATTGTGAACTGAGTGAAGGTTTACAGAACAGATCATCAGTCCCACATTCTACAAATTATACACTTGGTGTCATTACATTGATTGCAATCCACTCCATGTACGTTTAGTATTGACCTCTATTCACTTTGTTTCCCCACCCTCCCATCCGCCTTCTATTGTGTAACCATCGTAGAATGTTTCATTTACCAAGAAAATATTTTCTTAGCTTTTTGTATCCGTGCTCTCATGCAATAGCTACCCTTTTGTGATTCACTAATTTCACTCAGCTTGCTGTCCTCCAAGTACATCCATGTTATAAGATGATTTTCAGATTCCTCATTATTCTTCAACTTTGTATAGTATTCCATTATGTGTATGTACCAAAGTTTGTTTAACCATTCTTCTACTGATGGGTATTTAGGCTGTCTCCATCTTTTTGCTGTTGTAAATAGTGATGCAGTGAACACAGGTGTGCATATATGTAGTCATATCACAGTTCATCAATGCATCTTGATTGCATGTTTGATCAATTTCAGACTAAAGAAGTTGGTAGAATTCTTCATTTTCATTCTCGCTGCCTTTAGTAGTTGGTGGGTAAATTTGAATAATAGTGGTGCTGACTGGTCTTCCCTGTAGGCACATGGATAGTATCCTATCACAGACAGCATTTTAATGAAGATAGATCTTGGCATGTTATTTTTGATGCTGGATGTGACTCCATTTCTCTTGAATTTGTCATTCCTGGCATAGTAAATCATATAACTGTCAGATTCTAGATGACCAATTCAGCTAGATGTCCATTTCAGCTCACTAATGCCTAGGATATCTATTTTTATGAGGTCCATTTCATTGTTGACAACTTACAATTTTCTAAATTTATACTTCATAATTCCATGTTCTGATTATGAATGGATGTTAATAATAATAAACATCCCTACAGAGACCCCTTTGTTACATATTTAACAGGACAAAGTCAAAGACAATCATCCTGGATGAGAGAAAATGTCAGCATGTATACAGTACAGAAACCAATGGAATTGGCCAAATCACAGTCCTGGTATTTATCAGACACATGACAGAGAACAAAGGAAATCATCACAAAATCATGACTGGAGGTAGGTCAGTTCATCATTGTCACAGGCAGGACTACAGAAGTGAGGAAGACCCATGATTAAGAACCTACATACTTCCATGAAGTCAAATCCAACTTATAGTGACCTCTGAGGAGCAGTTGGTTGGTTTGAACCAATGACCTTGCAGTTACCAGGAAAGTGCTTATCCTAGCGCCACATCAGGACTCCATATATAATATAGGTAAAAAATTTTTAAATCCATATGGAGTAAACCACAGAATCAAGAAAATAGTTTCAATGTTTGTCTTCAAGAGATTTACATATAAAAACATATCTACAACACATGAAGGAACTTTTTTAAATGTTTTAGTATACATGTCTTTTTAATCAGTTACTTGTGCTATTTTAAATGATCTCTGTATTAAGATTATGATGAATAAAAAATTTGCACAGAAAAAAAAAAAGAAAGAAATGTACATACTTGCAATTTTAAAAAAGTTAAAGTGGTTCTGGAGCTATAGGGTGGTCCAGGCACAACTCATGATCATTTAACCCTGAGTCATATTCACCAGACCCGAGCTTTTAACTTAGATAGTAAATGTCTGAAGGAGCTCTGGTAGCATAGTGGTTACAAATTGGGCTGCGAACCTCAAGGTCAGCAGTTTGAAACTGCCAGCTGTTCCGCGGGAGAAAGATGAGGCTTTCTGCATCCATAAAGACTTACAGCCTTGGAAACCTTGTACAGGGTCGCTATGAGTCGGAACCGACTCCACGGCACATAACCACCACCACCAGTAAGTGTCTGATCTGCTACTTACAGAAAATGCCCAGGCAAATTACCTTGTTCTTTGTGTGAGCACTTTCTACATATAAATTTTTAACCACACGCTTCCTGAGAGCAAACTGTCCCTCATTGGACTTGCCTTATACTATGTAAGCATAGCCTCCTTGTTGGTTTAATGGTCAGCAAGCATTGGGGAAGTAACATAAAGAGCTCAAATGATATCTGAATATGGGTCAAGACTCAAATTGGAGTTAGGGCTCCTGCTATAAATTGCAGCCTTCACAAGCCAAGTGCTTTAGAATTTAAACTCTAATGCAACATTACCAAAAGTTCTTAAAGGTTCTCACTGCACTAAAAAGATTTATCATATATATATATATATACACACACACAAGATGTCTGGGATCCATCCTAATAGTCTGATGTAACTAACCTGACTTGCTTCTTGTGCACTAGATTTTAAGCTTCACAGGAGATTACAAAGTACAATTGAGGTTGAGAATGGGAATGACTGGCCTAGAGGAAAGTGGCCTAACTTTTGATAACAATTGTTGTTGCAGAAAACTGTAATGAACCTCCTTGGGGAGAAGCTCTTGCTTTACTTTTCAAGAGTTTGGGCTATTTTACTTGCTTACATCTGAAAATGATAGAAACATTTTGCATTTTGATTTTGGTAGTAGTTGCACAAATGTTGACTTTTGTCAAAATTCACTTTGATATATGTAAATTTCACCTCAATAAAGTTGATTTTTTTAAAAAGACATCAACAAGATGGCAAAACTAGCTTCTATTCTTTCTTTGTGACATATTGCTCGCATCTAGCAGCAGTAAATAGAAACTGGAGGGTCTGGCAGTCCATGCCAGCAATGAGAAAGACCTGAACTAATGTGTGACAAAATGGACACTAAGGCAGCTCAGGGCATCAGATCCACTGGAAATTGAAACAGTTGACAATTGTGTGGATATGGACTGAAAATAAGTAGTGTGGAGTCTAAGAGAAACTATTTAAACTATGAAGACAGTAAAAGTGGTCGGATTTTTTTATATTCCAGAGGCAACTTTCAAAGACACCGAGTGATAACTAGCATGTGTATTGTAAGAACGAAGGAGGAATAAAGATGATTCCCAGCTTTTGGCCAGTTATGTGAATTGTGATAAACTTATAAAATATGCCATTTGGTATTTCATTTCCTTTGAAGATTTTTGTATAGCCTATTTGGTTAATTCTTGTGATATTAAACACACACATACATATAAAGACCTGGGGAAGGAGAGGAAATTAGTTGTTTTGTTACAGTCATGTGGTATTTCAGATGCATTTTAGATTAGGAGTCTTGGTGTAGCACTGTAGGTTTAAGAATTGGACTGCTCTAAATACCAAGAGAGAGGGAAGGAGTCTTCACATCAAGAATCAATGATATACCCTCTGTACACAGGGTACATAGGGACAGGCAACTTAAGACACTGGGTACCTAAAATGAGGGGGCGATAAAGGCATGAAGTGACTGACTTACAAGCTTTCAAGAGGGAGTTTAGTTTAAGAGTGTGTGTGGGAAGATAGATTCCCACTGAATAGTTTTCATCTTGTCTGGATGAGTCTGGTAAAAAAAGATGGGAATAGGATTCTTATGATTCAATATTAATTGCTATCATGACTAATTGTGACTGTCACAATTGTAAAGGTAGAAGTTTTGTAACAAAAACGGGGGAGTAGTTAATCTTACAGTCCAGAAACAGAGGACCCTAGGACCATCAAGGGAGAAGAGCATAAACAGAATGCAGGACCTTATCCAGAGAAGCAGCAATACCAGAGATGGAGGCAGAGATGGGGTCATGGAGAGAGGGAGCATCTGAGGACTCTAGATTCATGGGAAGAGAGAGACTGAGAGTTGGTGGCCAGGAGGCAGACTTGCAGAACGTGCCCTTTGGTGGTGTAAATTATTATATATGCTTGAGTTTAAAATGTTTTAACTTTCATTCAATTCACAATAAAAACATTAAAAAAAAAAAATAGTGGAAGCATTTATATCTGAAAAAAAAAAAAAAGGAAATTAAATTTATGGGTGGCCACAGGTGAGGCAGGAGTGCTACCAAGGCCTTCATAAGTTTAGGGATCATGACTTTTCCCAGAGGCCACAGTTGGGGATGTACTTAACTCAAATAGCTGGGATGATGAGGCATTTCTCAGATATCATGTCTTCAAACTCATTGGCATTAAACTTGGTAAAACCACATGTTTCTTGGAGATGTTTTTCTGGTGCCCAGGGAACTTGAACTTGACCCTTTGTAGGTACCTCCTCGTCTTGGAAGCTTGGTGCAGATGTGTATGACTTGGCCCAAGTGGACCCTAGCCGCAGTACCCTGGGGTTTTTCAAAGGCCTGGAGCCTGTTAGTCCCAGTATAGGGCAATATCTTGTTGATGCAGAAGACATGGAAGGGACAGAACCACACTCAGATGTGAAAGCCACCTTTGCCCAAACTTTTCAATGCACTTATTGGCACACAATTGGGCAGCCTCCAGGGCTTCTGATGTTAAGTGCCATTAAGTCAGTTCCGACCCATAGCAACCCTATATAGTGTTTTCAAGGAGTGGCTGGTGAGCTTGAACTGCTGACCTTGTAGTTCAAGCCAACTTTGCAATCCAGCGCATTAACCCACAGCGCCACACCAGGACTCCAATCAACACTTAGTGAATAGCCAAAAAAAAAAAAAAATTAACCAAATAGGCTATACAAAAATCTTTAAAGGAAATGAAATACCAAATGACATATGTTTTATACTCTTTTAAGAAAACACATCTTCCAAATTACCATCTTACTTAAGAGGGTATTTATGCTATTAAGTTAAATACCTCAGTTAGTTTTCGATTTCATTTTTGTATGTAATTACTCTGTCCAAGTATGTTTTAAAAAACACTTCAGAAAACTGAAAACTCTAAAGTGAAAATTTCCAATTCTGAGTTTGTTGTACAGCAAACAAGAATTTCATATTTTCTATTTTAACATGTATGAATCATAGTCTTAATGATTTGCATTAAATAATATTTGCACTGGAGTAAAATTTGGAATACTGACTTAACAAAGTAAGACTGTCTACCTTAGTCAGTCCTTTTAAGTTAATGCGTGCAGATTGAACATGAGACAATTCAGTTTCTTTATTTTTAAGATAGCTCCATTTCTCGTGACAGAACAACGCAAATACAAGAAGTAGTTCTTAGGGCTGGCTGAGGCTATGCTTAGCTGTCCTCCTAAAAGCATTGGCTCAGCCCCCAAAGAGGATGTACATATCTGAGAAGGGATGGGAAAGGTAAAGATTACGGCTTCTAATTAAAAAGTAAAAATCAATGAATGACAATTGGTACTCTATGTTTCACATCAGTACTAACATAAACTCAACCCTTTTAAACCAGGGAACCTGCCATTCCATTCCTAATCAAGCGATTTTACAACCCTTATAAAGTAAAGGAATTATATAAAGGTATAACCAGTCAGCCTCCTTTAGAGACACTGTAATACAGAACAGGAATTGTTTATTGTAAGCTTCTCCTTCTGAGTTCTGCAGGCTTCAAGGTACTTCAGAGCCCCAATAATCAAGCAGTTCATGACAAAAGATGAAAGTGAAAAAGTAGACACAGAGATCTGTGAAGACTTCGCCCATTTTGCTATAGGTATCCATAGATCGATTTATCACTTCAGCAGGAATTCCAGATAACAGAAGTGCAGCAGTTAGTACTGTTGTCTTTATCTTCTTTTCACCCTGTACAGAGAAAGACTCAAATGAATTTCACAGCTTCCAGCAGACTACTTAAGCTCTATAAAAACATGATCAGTACTGTTACATCTGCCTACCTGCTTTCTAAACAGGTAACAAAGTTTCAAAAGCACTAATCAATAGCATATTAACAAATATGACTAAACATACATTATATACAGCAGCAAATGTGCTAAACAGTAGGGAAGAGATATAATTCTCACTCTCAAAAGTTTAAAAAAAAATGTAATCATCTTAGAAGGATAACATAATTTAAGGTTTAAATAACAGTACAAGACCAACAGGAAAAATATCACTAGACAAGACATAAATCACTGCTAAATGAATGACATGGATAATGAATGGCCCAGGAGACAGAAACTACTCCAAGTTTTTATTTATAAAAATGCAGGGAAGCCTGCCTTCTTCGGATGGCGGCTATTTATGCTGGATGTTTGGCCAGAGACGGGCAAGGATCACGTGGAACCTCGGCAACCTAAGACAGAGCCATTGCCATGCTGCAATGAGTTTCAATGACAGGTAAGACTGAGGAATTCGCACTGACTGCCTAAGACAGGCAGCATCCCTTAAACAAATAATAAATAAGGGGGAATCTGATGCAGACCATGCAGACCCGGTCAGGAGTTCAAGTTCCTGTGGGCCCAAGCGTTGCTGACCATCTAAACCATAGGCTCTGAGGATCAGACTTTAGCCACCTAGCAGACATAGCAAAATGTCCCTTATCTGATTATTCAGTTATGCTGGTTAGTAATTCCATACATGAGCCTGGATACCCACAGATAAATGTAAAAACCTACCCTAAAAGCCGAGACTGTAAATTCCAAAAAGGCAAAGTTTTTCCCCCCCAAAAAAAAACCTAAAGAGGATAGAGAGAAATTCTGTTAACTGATGGTATGTGGAGGGGATTATAATCAATGTAATAAAACAAGGTTTATGAATGTTTGAATGTGAAACCGATGATGTGCCCTGAAAACTTTCACTCAATCCACAATAAAAACCTTAAAAAAAAAAAATGCAGAGAAGGATTTCAGGAGGGAGAAAGACATTTCAAAGGAGACAAAAATTGCTGTAGGGTTTCATTTATAAATAAAACTCAGGGAATGACTTGAGGAGGAAGTGGAATTGAAAACTGGCTTTCAAGGATGAGTAGGATTTAGATGGGCAAATGAGAGAAGATTAAATCTTATTGTAAGGTTAAGTCTCATCATAACAAAAGTCAAAGGCAGAAGAAAGTTGGATCTATTGGAGGAAATGGGAGTTTGTAACAGAATTACAGGAACATCTAGCAGAGTCCAAATCATCATACAAAGTAATTCACATTTGATTACACGTGCAACAGGAGATTATGGAACAGTTCAAAAATATTTTTACGGAAGAACATGTCCCAATCTAACTTTTTAAGAGATTCAAAAGATTCAAAACTGAAGTTTTAATTTATTGATTTGGTGATACAGTCACATAGTTCAAAAATTTTGAAAATATAAACAATATATAGTTTTCCAAGAGAAATCAAAGTCTACACTTTAAGAAGGTTCAAACAAGAAAGTTGTGGGCAGCTTTAGTCATATTGGGAATAAACAAGATGTCCCTTAATAGATGCAATAAGCAAACTATGATATATTCATATAGCAAAATACTACTCTGTATTAAAAGAAAAAAAAAAAAAAAAGCATTAACTATTGAACACTCAATAACATGGGTGAAACTGTAAATTATCATACAAAGTGAAAGAGAGGTGTAACCAAAAAGTACATAAGGAATGTCTCATGAAGTACTAAAGAAGGCAAACTAATGCATGACAGGAATAAGAAAAAGAAAACCACCTAGGGAATGGAGGCCAGGGCTGGTTGAAAAGTGGGCAGGATAGAATTTTCCAGGGTGATGGTAATGTTCTAAACCTGGTAGGAATTTGAGTTTCACAGGTTGTCAAAACATCAAAAGGCACACTTAAGATCTGTGCATTTCACTATATGAAAATATTACCTTAAAAAAGAACTCATAAACTGTAGTTAGTAACATATATGCTATATATGCTGGACCGTGTACGGCGGAAGTAAAATGACATTGATATCCACAACATATGGATTAAAAAAAATTAGACACATGAAAGAGAAAATATAACCAGCAACAAAAAAAACTGAAATACTAATTGTAGAATCTAGATAATGGGAATATATGGATGTTTACTGCACTTTCTTCCAACTTTTCTGTATATTTAAAAACTGATATAATAAATTGTTAGGGAAAAGGTATAGTCTTTTTCTCTCCTCCACCCACCTAGTAATCTTTACACCTGTACACCACAGATAGCCATTTTAAAAGCTACATGTATACTCTTCACAAGTTTCTTTATGAACACAAGCAAAATTAGGTATTATTTTCCTCCTTGTCACAAAAAAAAGGAGTATAAGATAAATTCTATTCTACATTTCTTTTTCTCTTAATATTTCTTAAAGAAATATTATCAACACATGGAGAGCTTTAGCTTTCTGAATAGGGATATCATAATTTTCATAACTACTCACTTATTGGTGGATATTTAGGTTGTTTCCAAACTTTTGCTACTGCAAAATGACAATCAATGTTTCAAGGATGAACTTCGAAACAAATGTTTTGATTGAATTTGCATTTCTCTAACTCTTTTACTTTCTGCATTTGACTCAAGCAAAATGTTTCAAAGTAATTGAAAACCATTAGAAGTTATTTAGCAAGCAGCCTAGCACCCATTTTTCAGCAAAAACCAA